TACAAAACTTCTGAAAATATGAAATATCTTTTAGGAATCGTCAGAAGATTCTTTTGGATTAATGCTCATGTGTCAAAAATATCGGAAGAAGCATCCTCAACATAGAGCTCACAGCTTTTCAAACACAGAGGGAAAACCTGAGCAATTATGCAGATTTTCCATCTAATTCACAAAATAAATACTAAATAAGCTTCGAGAAATCAATTTCAGAATGCTAAAAAATGAAGGCTGAAAGGAGACATAGTCACAACATATAAAGTAATGAGAGGAACGAAGAAGTGTAAGGACTAAGGGAGTGGATGAACCGAGAGGACATAAATATTAACCAAACTACTGAGTTTGCTACAGGTGTAAGCAGAAACTTTCGGGGGTGAAGGTACTGAGTAGAATGTACTAGGTGAGGAAATAGTAGAGGTACTGAGTAGAATGTACTAGGTGAGGAAATAGTAGAGGTACTGAGTAGAATGTACTAGGTGAGGAAGTGAAAGAAAACTCCATAAAGTACCAAGTTAGGATTATTACAAGCGATTTTTAGTTGAGGAAATAGTAGAAGATAGAGCTACATTACAAGAAATATAATATGAGTGAATGTATAGGTGAGGAACAAAAACAGTAGAAGGAAGGTAAAGGATTAAATAGACGTTGAGTACATTCTACAGGTGAGAAATGTAAGATAAGAATGAAAGTGAAAATATAGATACTATAGAATTCAAAGTTGAGGAAATGTAGAGAATGAATAGCAATGCGTTGTGTAGTGAGGATATCAATTACTAATTAGGAAAATAGTAAAAGGAGGTCAGAGTTGTGAGAAAAGACTCATAGTAGAATTACTTAGTTAAATATCTCAATAAATAAAGTGGAAAACAACAACAGCAATAAAGTATACTGGATAATAGCACAAAATTGAGTTTAGAGATGAAGTAAATGATTATGGAGCTTTCAAAATAATATATCTCGTTAGCAACACACAAAACACTAAGGGAACGCGAGGTTAAACGAACCACCTCCTGGACGGCTTTTAATGAAGTGAATGAAAGAAAAGATTAATATAAAGTAACTTACGAGCAATTACCACATGGTTTTGTAGTGTATCACCTACTGTTTAAGGTGGGGAATGAGAGGAAGCATGATGCAGGAAATGAAACCCCAGTATCAATATCATTTTCCATTTAATACAGAGATAAAACACAAAGAAGTAACAGTCCTTGTGAGAAGCAGCAAAATCGAGTATATTAAGTCATGATAATAATATAATAATAAATATTCGTAATCAATCATGTAAACATGAGGTCGCAGTAGAGAAGACGACCACCGAGCTGGATCTGGTCTTTTCTAAGTGAAGTGAAGAAGAAAACGATTAAGTAATCGTAGAGCAATGACCACATAGTTGTATGTTTCGCCTACTTGGTTGAGGTGGGGATGGAGAGAAGCATGAGCAGGAAGATGAAACCCCAGTACCAATATCTTTTCCAGTTTAATACAGAGATAAAACACAAAATGAAGTAATCAGTCCCTCTGCCTAGATGCCATTATTCAGTATCTTAGTCTTGATAATAATAATAATAATCATAATAATAATAATACTAATCTTTATTTCTTCAAGTACATGTACAAGATATACAGGCATAGCTGGCATCAATGGCACACTACTACACAGAAAACCCCTTGTTGTGCAGAGCATTTCGGGCAAATTAGGTCAATTTTCTCCCCAGGATACGACTCACAGCAGTCGAGTAACACCCAGGTATCTATTTTAATGATAGTTGAACAATGTCAGCAGGTGTCTTAAGGAAACATAAGGTACATACAATGCCTTTAGGATACTTAAAATATGCATGAAAGCCACGGACATGTGTACCAGCAAATAGAAATAATATAAAAACAGCGTATGTCTAGCTACACTTATTTGTAAACGTTGTTCGTGAAAATGTAGAAAAAAGCCAACAGAAAACAAGAAATTAAGCTGAAATGCAAGTATAAGGGAAGAAAAAAGATAATGACAACAGTAAAGGTCAAAACAGCACCGAAGCTGAAGGCAAGGAGAGAATCCAAGATTATCTGAACTATCTGCAACGTGGCCAGGAAGATGCCTACTAGAATTCACTCCTGGCGAGTGCAGAGGAATAAGAATATGAATGTAAGTAAAGAACTTGTACGTTTTACATTGCTTTGATCTATGAGGTCATTCAGCATTCTTTTTCTTTAAAAAAGCATATGCACATTCACTCATACATGCTAACACAATCCTTCTAGAACATAAATAAGTCACTAACGTGCAAAAGATAAAATAGTATCAATTGCAAAGTCTTTCAAATGTTTAACAGTGAGAATAGGAGAGGAAGTGAGAAGAAAGGATGTGGAATCCAATCCGGGAAAAGTGATAATGTGGAGAATGTCCCAAGCAGAAAGGTCTTGAAGAGCATCACCTGAAACCTATCTCTAGAAGTAACTATCTGTCTTATAGTTTTAGAGGCATTTGCAAGTCTAGCTAACCTAAGAACTTCGATTTCAGCAAGGAGCCTGCACCTGATGACGTTTATTAAGACACTTGAGTGTCCTAACAAGCATAATACTGCACATACAAAATACTCAGATTAATTAGTGGATAGGGACAGGTTGCTTGAAATGCGAGGAGAGGGAACCTATGGAGACAAAGATGAGATGGCAGCTAAAACGCACTGATGAGCCACGTGGGCGTTTCTTAATACTTTTTCATCTTAACTTTGGTAAGTGGAACAAAATAGACGAAGAGGTGGTGGAAGCAAACACCATACACACCTTCAAGAATAAGATCGAGCAGTTATGTTTAGGTATCACTGAAATCGTTGATAGTTAAGAAACGGAACCAGGAGCTTTAAAATCGACTTGCTGTAAGCACAACTAGGTGAGTACATGTATACATACGGGGTCAAGTGAAAGACAGTTCAGAGGTAACTGAATACTCAAGAGATAATGCCAGGATGAATGAAAACACACTGAGAGGGGCGGGACAAAGTTGAAGTGTAACAAACTAAACGAAGCTCCAGAATTAGCCCAAAGAGGAACCTCTTAACAGGATGGGTCGAGTCCAGCACAGGTAAGCCAGTGGTCGTTGCTGCTGCTGTGGCTCGCCACAGGGCCAAAACACTGTCCTAAGACACACTGTCTTGTTGTGCCCTCTTCATATTACCCGATCCTTTGAATGGGTCAGTGTGAAGGCAATAAGCGAGTGAAATGTGCCAGGAGACGAAGAAGTGGAACCCAACTCCATATCTATATTTATTTGTAAATATGGCCATACCTAAAGTGCTAGGGATGTATGAAATTGGGCAATTAATAAAATTTGTGGCCCAGGAGCTGGAGGTTGCTCCTGGCAAATACATTCATATGAGAAAAGACGGGAACTCTGAATACACACAAGTGCCAGTAGAAAACCATCAGTAGCATATACTCCTGCGCTCCCACGAGTACACCACTAACACTACCCCTAGACAAATTTTAATTATTCAAGGTACATTTGAAGCCGCTGTACACCTATCAGCGAGTCTATACCTGTGACTGCTTGCAAACATTTGTGTATGCCAGTGCCCTTGTGGGATTACCTTTGCTACCTTTGTAACATGCTTTTCTACCCTCGTGAGCACACACTCGCAATACACATACATCCATGAGCTAAGAATCGTCCATTGGTGAGTGTACACTTACGCACGCAACTCACCGCCCTACTTTTCTAACCTGACGTCCAAGTCACAGTTTCTTATTAACCTCGCACCCATGCTTCAGTTACTTATAAACATCATGCCCCCACGCTCAACCAGTGTTCTTCCTTACTCAACTCATGCCCCCACACCCATGCCAGTTCCTTACAAACTTCATGCCCTTGCCACAGTTCCTTACAAACTTAACGCTTTCGCCAATCGTTCCTTTAAAAATTCACGCCCACGCCAGTTCTTCCATACAAACTTCATGCTCCATTTTACAGTCCTCTCTGATACTTCTCACGTCCACACCAGCCCTTCATTACAAACATCACGTTCACGCCAAAGTTCCTTAACATATCTCACGTCCATATGTGTATGCCACAGTCCCTTACAAAGCTCTCACCTAGGCCACTGTCCTCCCTCAGAAACTTCACACTGCCACGCATACACTGCAATCATACCTTATTAAGCTCGCCCCCCCCCTCCCCTCTTCATGTTACACAATAACTATGTTGTGTTACTGATAGCATGAGCATGCCAGTTGGTGCTCCAGGGCTAGCCAGATGGAGAATTGCAACGAGATACGGTTAAAATTTGGCAGCAGTTGGTTTGTGTGGAACATATCCCTCTTCCTTGGGCCCCGTTCTTCACCACCTACCCAGTCCACCTTTAGTCTTATGATTATTCGTGATCTGCATTAGAGTTGGTGACACAACTCCAGTGATTTATCACACAGTCAACCAGCAACACTTGACATGTGAAGACAGTTATTTGTATGTGAAGACGGGACGTGTAGATTGATGCGTTACAGGGGTACTCAAGGTGTAAGTGAGACAGTAGTGGTGGTGTAATGCTTGGTTAGAGGTAAGGTAGTGGTGATGGAACAATGGTGATATACTAGATATGTAGTAGTGTTGTAGATGGGTAGTTGTGGTGCATTGGATGGATAGTGGTGGTGTAGTAGATGGGTAGTGGTGTTGTAGTTGACAGTGGTAAGGTACTGGTGGTAGATGGGTATCAGTGGCATGTGCAAGTATACATCACAATGATTCACGGGTACTGGTGACTTCCATCCTACAATGTTAGACACACTCGTCCAAACTTAATTGTATGTAGAGTGTAGCCTAAACCTTAATACAAATTTGTCTATAAATAAAAAAAATGTTGATATCAATACAGTATGTTATTTAATGATTATTTTTATGCCCCACGAGCCTGTTTTGGTGGGTATGAGTGGAGGTTGGGGGCGTGCTTGCCTCAAGCACTCTTAGGGTGTGAGGTGATACGGGTGGTGATGTGTGTGTTATGGTGGTGTTTCAGGCCATGTCGCCGGCGCACAGCGTCCACAGTCTGTCGCCGACGCAGCCACTAGGGGAGGGCCATTACCCTGGGCCTGGAGGCGAAGCCCACCAGCCCACCAACAACTATCCAACACCTCCCACCTCACAACCCCCGCACACTGCCCACTCCGCCCATTCTGCGTCCAACAGTGAGCCAAATATGCTCAGGGCAGCACTAACCCATCGGGAACAACAGCAGCAGCAGCAGCAGCAGTCACACAGCGGTAGCCCTGGGAGCAGCGACTCTGGGGGCGGGCCGGGCACTGGTGGCAGCGGTGTGTCTGGGGGTGGTGCGGGAGGCCCCGTGCATATGCAGGACTTTGTGGACTTCGACACCCCCATACAGGGCGGCCTGGACTGTAACGTGGAGGAGGTAGGGGACTTGCTTATGGTGGCCGGTTGTACCAGTAGCCTGAGACAGGAGGGTCGCAAGTCGCGCCTCACTACAGGAACTGGACACGATCCGACACAGTAGTAACAACTAGCATAAGTTTGTCGATATTATTAACACTAATTTGCGTAGAGACTTTTATGACCTGCCAGTTTTTTATTTCCCTTTGTTCAAAGCGTATTTATGTCATTATGAATCAGATTTATATATATATACAAAACAGCCTGTTAATCACGAAGTCATTCATTCAGAAATGTCCTATTAAATGGTTGAGCTACGTGTTCTTTTATGATGTAAGGGCATTCAAATTCAACCAGTAGACAGACTATGACTTTTATACTGCTCATAGGTCTCTGTCTCCCCCATTTCATCGATCAGGGAAAAGGGCACTTGCTTTCTCTGCCTGAGACTGAACACTTTCTTTGGTCATTCTTGCTGCCAAACTCTCACACCCATAACTCAGACATCAATAACTCACGAAGACAAGTAGTCAGTCACTATATAAATCTCTGTTGTGCCGATACTAAGTTCTGAGGTTACGGGAACGATAATTGCGTCTTTTGTCAGGTTATTATATATTTATATAGGATGTTAGAGTCTGCCGTGTTTGCTCTTGTCATCATATGTTGTGATCTATGTCAGCCATATCAAAGTTTCAGCACAATAATGCCCTTCGAAAAGTACTTCATCAGTTCTGATCATCGTCTATCTGTAGAGGAAAGGTCAAACATGCTTTTCTAATATTTAATAATTGTGCGAGTTGAGGGAGTCTCTGTGGCATGATCAGCACTGGTGTAGGACTGAGGACACTACACACGTACTAGTGTGGGGCCCAGATCTCTTGTGTGGGGAAACTGTTTGTCTTACATAATACAATCGTCTCATCTTTGCCTTGCTATTGCTTTGCTAATCAGTTTAGATTAAGGTTTTCTTTTAAGTTTCTGCTTTTTTTAATGTTTACATTATTATACAGGCCAAAATAACCGCATTGTTATAGTGATAATTTTTTGTTATGGGAGCGCCAAGCGGGTGCATTAAGCTATGGTAATATACCGTCGTCATCTATTTCTCAACGTTCACTTTTCTTGCTCTAACTAGAATTTCACTTGACTGATTCTTTTCACAATTTGTGACATAAATACTTTTCAGTATATATCAAGCTATGATTTGATTACAGTAGATGAAAGGTCACACTTATATATAATTAGCAAGCTGGCGTTTTGTGCCTGTTATTAGTCCATTTTAAACATAAGCCTTACGATATTCCCTTGTTGTACATACTGAAGACTCTTAATGTTTCAGGTGATCAAGCACGAGTTGCAGGTGGAGGGAAACTTGGACTTTTCCTTCCCACAAGCCCATCACGGTCATCACATCCACGGTCACACACACGCCCATGCCCACGCCCATGCACACGCCCACTCTCACTCGCATCCCGATGCTCCGCAATGGCAGCACCGCCGGGAATGTCATACCCCTGCTCGTCCATTGCGGCGGGTAACCAGTGGGTGCGCTAGTGGGTGAGTACCTTCACCTCACTTCCTGTCTTGCAGTAACTCTGGTAATTAACGGCACTGATACCTCTATACTGAAGCAGCTAAGCTTGGATAAAAACATAATTTCAGTGGCTTCCTTATTTGTATAACGTTTCGCCCAACATTTGGCTTTCATCAAGTATGGGTACTTGATCGTAAAAATAAAGGTCCCCCAATGTATTTATGTCTGGTTCACCAGCCCAAGAGAGATTAATATCGGACGTTTCAGTCCGACAAGATAGTGAACCAAGTCAGACCAAAACATCGTAAGTTTCATTCTCCTATGTACGGGTTATATATGTGTCGTGTTCACTATTTAGACTATGTAGCATATCGAACAAAGGTATGTGATACCCAGTAACAGTGGAATGACACATAATATGCATGTACATAGGGTAGCGCCTATTCCATGGATCAAGAGCCCTATAACAATGATTTCCAGGATATGAGTTTTTGGTCTGTGACCTGGGATAAATTGTGCATATGATTTGTGTAATGAGTTCGTATTGCAGTGTAATGATGTTTTTTTTGTAAGATACTGGCACAATAATTAAGATAAAATTGGTAATTAAATCTATGAGTTGGTAATACTGGTAATGATATAAGCAAATTGGTAATGTCAGCAAGTTGGTAATGTGAGCAAATTGGTAGTGTCAGCAAATTAATAGTAATATCAGTAAAACTGTTAATGAGTTCAACAAATTATTAATATCAACAAATTATTAATACCAGCAAACTGGTATTGATGTCCGCAAATTGATAAGGACATCAGCAGTTGGATGTTTTCAGAAATTACATACGTAAACAATTCTTCATAACCAAAGGGGTTCAAGTGCTTATTAACTTGAATTAACGTTTTACTTACCATTGTCCTCCTCCTCAGAAACATACAGTCGGGACATTGTTGGTTTCTCGTACTTAAAGAGGTTCTCGAATCACGTTTATCTACTCGCACGTTTCTCTAGTCACACGTTTATGGTGATTTCTGGATTATATCTATGATTTCGGCTCGTAGAGATGATGGAGAGGAATAGGATGGGAGGTAGAAGGGGGTTAGGGTTATCCCAGGAATAGTGTGGGAGGTAGAAGGGGGTTAGGGTTATCCCAGGAATAGCGTGGGAGGTAGAAGGGGGTTAAGGTTCCAGAATAATTATACAAATTATTAGTACCCAAATAGTAGGGGGAGGTAAATTGGGATAAGGTACATCAAGCGTTGGATGTTTTTCAGAAATAGTTAGGTAAACGGGGAGTTCCCAGAACAAAGAGGGGTTAGTGTTTTTCCCTTGAATTAGTTTACGTACAAGGTCGGGTCCTCCTCAGAAAATAGTTGGGAGAGAGGTTGGGTTTCCCGGTACTTAAAAAGGGAGGTTTCCAGAATAGTTATAAATGCGGATAGTTTATCTCAGGAATAGCGTTGAGGTGAATTCGGGTTATATCTCATGGATTTGGCTGAGAGTAGAAGGGGTTAGGGATAGGAATAGTGTGGGAGGTAGAAGGGGGTTAGGGTTATCCCAGGAATAGTGTGGGAGGTAGAAGGGGTTAGGGTTATCCCAGGAATAGCGTGGGAGGTAGAAGGGGGTAAGGTTATCCAGGAATAGGTGGGAGGTAAAAAGGGGTTAGGGTTATCCCAGGAATAGTGTGGGAGGTAGAAGGGGTTAGGGTTATCTCAGGAATAGCGTGGGAGGTAGAAGGGGGTTAGGGTTATCCCAGGAATAGTGTGGGAGGTAGAAGGGGGTTAGGGTTATCCCAGGAATAGTGTGGGAGGTAGAAGGGGGTTAGGGTTATCCCAGGAATAGTGTGGGAGGTAGAAGGGGGTTAGGGTTATCCCAGGAATAGTGTGGGAGGTAGAAGGGGGTTAGGGTTATCCCAGGAACCAATAAAACACACTAGCACATTAAGTTTAAAACTGCAGTATTAATACACATATAAACCGCAAATAGGTAAAAGAAGCTTATGACGATGTTTCGGTCCGATTTGGACCTCAACGTGCCTTTTCTCTCTGCAGAATTAATACCAGTCGGACGAGGCACTCTGAAGTTATCGCATCAACACTAGTGTTTTAATGTTTCCAATTTCTTCCATACAAAAAAAAAGGCAAATTGCAACCTACACTGACCAAAATCATTCAAAACTTTCCTCTAAGATCTAAGTAGAGTTATTTCAATATTAGGTATTAAGGATTGATGCTTAAGTATTTAGTGTCCAGAGTTAGATTTGGCGTGTTGGATGGCCACTATTTGAGCATAGATGAAAAATACTCGGACATAAATGCTCAAAAGTTGGGCTTGGATTCCCAAAACTTGTACCTGGAGGCGCATAATAATAATAATAATAATAATAATAATAATAATAATAATAATAAATAGTTATATCTTTATTTCTACAAGTACATGTACAAGGTATACAGGCCTAACTGACATCAATGACATAATACTATATAGAAAGCCGCTTGTTATGCAGAGCATTTCGGGCAAATTAGGTCAGTTTTGTGCCAAAATGCGACCCACACCATTCCACTAAATCCCAGGCACCCATTTTACTGATGGGGAACAAAGACAACCAGTGTAAGGAAACACGCCCAATATTTCTACCCTCGCCGGGAATCGAACCCGTAAGCTTAACCAAAGGTAACCCTGGAGTCAAACACGGTCTTATTTCCGATCAGAAGAGACATTTTCCAGTTATTTCACAGAAGCCAAACTGCTTAATAAAACTGGAAGAAAACGCATCAGCACTAAAAGTTTGAAGTTGACCAAGAGAGGCATTCCTCAGTTACTGCAAAAAAAGGCCAACAAAATTTGCACTTATAGAGGCTGGAGAATGTGAGATATTCGGATTCCATATAAGGGAAGAATGAATCAAGCTCTTTGGATCAAGAACTCTTGATCCAAGTGTTGGTGCAACAGTTACAAGTGTTGGTGCAACAGTTACAAGTGTTGGTGCAACGGCTACAAGTGTTGGTGCAACAGATCCAAGTGTTGGTGCCACAGTTACAAGTGTTGGTGCAACGGCTACAAGTGTTGGTGCGACAGTTACAAGTGTTGGTGCAACAGATCCAAGTGTTGGTGCCACAGTTAAAAGTGTTGGTGCAACAGTTAAAAGTGTTGGTGCAACAGTTACAGGTGTTGGTGCAACAGTTAAAAGTGTTGGTGCAACAGTTACAATTGTTGGTGCAACAGTTACAAGTGTTGGTGAAACAGATCCAGGTTTTGGTGCATCAGTTCCAAGTGTTGGTGCAGCAGATCCAAATGTTGGTGCAGCAGATCCAAGTGCTGGTGCAACACTTACATGTGTTGGTACAACAGATCCAAATGTTGGTGCAACAGATCCAAATGTTAGTGCAACAGTTACAAGTGTTGATACAACCGCTACAAGTGTTGGTGCAACAGCTACAAGTGTTGGTGCAACAGCTACAGGTGTTGGTGTAACAGCTACAAGTGTTGGTACAACCGCTACAAGTGTTGGTACAACAGGTGCATGTGTGGTCAACACTATGTGTTGGTGACAACAGCGCAGTGTTTTACAAGCTAGTGTTGGTGCAACAGCTACAAGTGTTGTACAACAGCTACAATGTTGTACAACAGCTACAAGTGTTGGTACAACAGCTACAAGTGTTGGTACAACAGCTGCAAGTGTTGGTACAACAGCTACATGTGTTGGTACAACAGCTACAAGTGTTGATACAACAGCTACAAGTGTTGATACAACAGCTACAAGTGTTGATACAACAGCTACAAGTGTTGATACAACAGCTACAAGTGTTGATACAACAGCTACAAGTGTTGATACAACAGCTACAATGTGTTAATACAACAGCTACAAGTGTTGATACAACAGCTACAAGTGTTGATACAACAGCTACAAGTGTTGATACAACAGCTAACAAGTGTTGATACAACAGCTACAAGTGTTGATACAACAGCTACAAGTGTTGATACAACAGCTACAAGTGTTGATACAACAGCTACAAGTGTTGATACAACAGCTACAAGTGTTGATACAACAGCTACAAGTGTTGATACAACAGCTACAAGTGTTGTACAACAGCTACAAGTGTTGTGTAAACAGCTACAAGTGTTGATACAACAGCTACAAGTGTTGATACAACAGCTACAAGTGTTGATACAACAGCTACAAGTGTTGATACAACAGCTACAAGTGTTGTACAACAGCTACAAGTGTTGATAACAACAGCTACAAGTGTTGAACAACAGCTACAAGTGTTGAAACAACAGTACAAGTGTTCGATACAACAGCTACAAATGTTGAAACAACAGCTACAAGTGTGAACAAGCAGCTAACAATGTTAGCAACAGACGGAATATGATCAACGCAAGAGTGGTGATGCAACAGTACAGTGTTGGACACACTGACATAGTGTAACAAGAATTGTGCACAGTACAAAGTGTTATACAAGAATGTTGATGACAACAGAGTGACAGTAATAACAGTGAATGGTGCACAAGCAATAGTGTAAACAGATGGTACAACAGAGAAATATGTCGATACAGGAGAATGGTACACGCAAGGATGGAGATGCACAGAGGATGGCATAGCATAGTGTACAGGAATGGTGCACAGAAAAAGTGTACAGAATGGTGCACAGATGAAAGTTACAGGAATGGTGCACAGAGTGAATAGTGTAAAGGTGGTACAATAGCAGAGATAATGTACAGGAATTGAAAAACAGGAATAGTGAATGAATGGGCACAGATAAATAGTACAGGAATGGTGCACAGATAATAGGTACAGGAATGGTGCACAGAAGAATAGTGACAGGAATGGTGCACAGAATGACATGGTACACAAGGAATGTGTACAGAACATCACAGAGAATGGTACACAGGAATGGTGCACAAAGACTTGTACACATAGGAATGATGTACAGAAATGATGCACAGAGGAATGGTACACAAAGGAATAGTACACAAAGGAATGGTGCACAGAGGAATAGTGTACAGGAATGGTGCACAGAGGAATAGTGGACAGGAATGGTG